GCGTGCATATATCTGTTCTTGTTATGGCTCTCACTTCTTTAGGGTATATACCTAGTAATGGGATGGCTGGGTCAAATGGTATTTGTATTTCCAACTTTACTTCATCATTTCTTAAATTTGGTTTAACCACCTTATGTTTAAGAGAAAGTTTCAGAGTCTTTTCTGATATCCATTTTGGTCTTTCTTTCTTTCATGTCTTCTTAGTGATCTTTTACTTCCTTCATGTATGCTATTCTTTTTTTTTTCTTTTTTCCTTTTCTTTCTTCTTCTTCTTTTTTATTTTGTTGTGCTTTGGGTGCAAATTTACAAAGCAAACTTGTTTTACATTCAACAGTTCATGCACATCTGATTTCATGGCTCTGATTACTGTCCTCAACCATAAAAAACTCTCTTTCCCTGTCCTCCCTGTGACCACCCCCTTATTGTACCCTTCTTATCTATGCATTCCAGCTTTTCCTCTCTGTAAGTGCTGCCTTCTGGTATCTCATGGCTGATTGATCCAAGGAGCACATCTCCCTAGAATAGGTGGGTGTATCCCCCTGGGGAAGGGGTTCTGTATGCAGGTCTATTTTTGGGCTGAGAGCCAATCCAAGTGAGTGAGTCCATTTCTAGGCCCATAGGGTAACTTGGAACCATAGTCTCAGAGGTTCCACTGGTCTCTTTCCGATCAGTTATTCTGATCATTTTTGTGTTTTTGAATTTTGTTCCATATTTTTCCTCCCACTCTATCCAAGATCTCCAAATTTGATCACCTTCTGAGTGGTTGGCATGGGTAGGCAGGCACCATCTACTTCCTCTGGTCTCAAGGTCATGGAGGCTGAGGTCCTTGTGGTCCATCTTAGCTTTGGATTAATTGTTTCCAGATGACTTTGATTTTTTTCACTCTTCTTTGCTCCAGATAAGAGAAGACCAATAGTTGCATCTTAGATGCTGGTTGAATGTTTTTAAGATCCCAGTTGCTACTCATCAAAGTAGGTTGTAGAGCAACATTTTTATGAACTCTGTATGCCAATTTAGTATGATGTCCCCTGAGACTATGGTCCCGAGTCCTCAGGCCCAGTGATTCTGTCTCACAAGATGTTTTGTTGTCTCTGAGAAGTTACTCCAACCTTGTCTTCTGTTGCTTCTGTAATGTATGTGGCTAATTTTGTAGAACAAGTGCATATGTAAGATTATCTTCAGCCAAATCTGTCTCTGGTCTAGGGTGTATTCCTGTTCACCTACTCCCACCTGCCATTCCTACCTGTCTGTGCATTAATCTGTAGCCTGGTATTTGGTGCTAGTGATTCTGCAGTGTTTTGCATGTAATAGTATTTGGCTCTGTTGTCCGTATCTTTTGTGTATGTTTCAGTGTCTTTTCTTTCCCCAGTGTTACTGTGGTGGTCACAGACTCTTTCCATAACTGTTCTTCTCCTCACCCAAATTAACATGTGACCCCCAAATAGTCCGAGATTTCAAGTATGATGTTCTTCTTTTTCTTTTTTTTTAAAGTTTTATTGTGATTTGAGTGAAAGTTTACAGAGCAAAGTCATTTTTTTTTTTAATTTAAATTTTATTGTGATGTGGGTGAAAGTTTACAGGGCAAATTCATCTTCCATACAGCAGTTCACATATACTTTGTCTCATGACATTGACTACAATTTCCCATAATGCAACAGCTTTCCTCCCACTTCCTCCCCATAGTTACCTCTTCCCTGTTTTCTCCCCTCCCATGTACTCCTGCCCCCCGAGCTGTCTCCCTGTGCATACACAGCCCTTCTAATCTTCCAGGATTGATGTCTCTAAGGAATGTATCTACCTAATGTAAAGATTCAGCTCATATGCCTGTCTTTTGTTTGTCTGGAAGCCACAGGAGTGGGTTCAGTTCCAGACCTTAAGGGCAACTAGGGACCATAGTATCAGTGATTCCACCAGATTCTATCAGACCAACAAACCTGGTCTCTTTATTTATTTATGATTTTCAGTTTTGTTCCACATTGTTCTCCCACTCTGCCCAGGATCTCCTACATAGATTCCCCTCCTAGTGGTTGATGGAGGTAGCCAGGCACCATCCAGTTCTTCTGGTCTCATAGTCACATAGGCTGAGGATAACATGATATAACAGTTGCTTGGACTAATTGTTTCCATGTGTCTTTGGTTTTCTTCATTCTTCTTTGCTCTGGATGAGGAGAGACCCATCGTTGTATCTAGATGGCCACTTGTAAGCTTTTAAGATGCCAGTCGCTACTTGCCAGAGTAGGATGTAGAACAATGTTTTTGTGTAGTACGTTATGCCAGTTAAGCTTGATGTCCCCTGTGACCATGGTCTCAAGCCCACAGGTCCAACTACTTGCTCTCTCTGGGTAGCTGGCTGTGGCCAAGAAGTGACTACAACCTTGTCCCTTGTCAGCTCTACTCTTTACCTAGGAATTCTTAAGAACATACCAATACACTTGTAGAAACATTGTCTGCCAACCCTATACGTGATCATGGGCACACTCTCCCCTGCATGTTGTTGTTGTTATGTGCTATTGAGTCGGACCCGACTCATAGTGACCCCTCCTTGGGTTTCTGAGGCAGTATCACTATGGAAGTAGATTGCCCCATCTTCCTTCTGAGGAGTGGCTGGTGGGTTTGAACCGCCAGCCTTCTGGTTAGCAGTCAAGTGCCTTAGGTACTACACTACTAGAGCTCAGCCTGTCCGCCTATCTATCCAACACCTGTATACTGATGTTTGCTGTCACTGACAATGCAGTACTGTATGTGTGAAAGAGTTCATCTTTGTGGTCTGTACCTCCTATGCACCTCTCTGTCTTCTTCTTCCTCAATGCCACCATGTTGATCACTCACATTTGGTACATTGCCCTTCTCTTCACCCAAATCAATACTTGCCTCTGCCTATCAAGCAGTGTTCCCTCCCTTCTCTTCTCTCCCTTGGTATCCAACAAAGAAAATTTCCTTCTATATATAAACCTTTCCTTGACTTTTTACAATAACGGACTAATACAATATTTGTCCTTCTGTGGTTGACTTATTTCACTCAGCATAATGTCCTCCAAGTTCATTCACATTATGTGATGTTTTGCAGGTTCTATGTTATTCTTGAGGGTTGCCT